ATAACAAAAGGAGGGGAAAAAAATTTCAATAATGCTTTGTCTATATTTTAATTATTTTTGCAAACAAAATATAATAACATATATTTCAATGAGAATACAAAAAAGAGGAATAAACGAATTTTCAATAAAGCTAACGGTACAAATCAGGAACAAATCAATCCCGTTTTAACAATTTGAAAAGTTTTGAATATCGTGGGGCTAACTTCACGCTATAATATAAGGTTTAAAATTTGATTTCTGAAATTAATGGAGATAAAACTTAATTTGAGGCATCATTAGGAAGAGAAAAAAATTCCCTATCGTTGTAAGTTAAGAAATTTTTTTAAAAAAATTGAGTGTTTTTTTATTTTTGGCGCCATAGAAAACGATAATGGTACAAATCAAACTGAATAAATTTAATTAAAGTTAAATTATCTGAAGTTTTTATTTTCAACTTAGTTTTTAAAAGTAAATGTGTTATCTTAATTACTTTTACAAATTAAATATTTTTATCTCAACAATGCAATGTGTTTTATTTTTAACTTAATCAAGAAAACATGTTTATTAAATCGTCACAACAACACTGAAAAATAAAAATTAATAATTCAAAAAATAAAAAAACGCATGTTGATTGTTAATTAAGGACTCCGGGTCTGGACCCCAGGTTCGTGCTCAGAGCAGGCCTGAGCATATAATTGGGTCGTAAATTTTACGACCAAGCAAATTAACAGTACTAGTATTGAATATGACATTGGTGATAAGAGAGGCGGAGGTGGCACAAGCATCTGAGGCAAATGACAAGTGGGAAACCATCAAGGCCTGGGTGAGGACAACTGAGGAGGTATGTGGATGGACAAAAGGGCCGTCTAGACATAAGGAGACATGGTGGTGAAATCCGGAGTAAGCAAAAGTATGGATGAGAAACGGAAGTGCTTCAAAGAATGGTATAATAGTAAAAAAATAGTGATAAGATATTTAAAAAGGGGGGAAAAGAAATGCTAATAAATTAATAACGAAGGCGCAAGAAGAAAAAAGGCAGGAGTTTGCTAAAGAAATTGAATGCACTGAAAGAATCGGAAATGTGGTTCGAATGGCAAAGCAGATGGCAAAAAAGAGGGAGGATGTGGTAGGTGTTAAATGTTTGAAAAATATAGAAGGAAAAATGGTGATTGATAGTAATGGTATTAAGAACACATGGAAGATTTACATGGAAGGACTTTTAAACGAAGAAAATAAATGGGATAATGATGTTAGTTGTGCAAGGTAGAAGGTCCAGAGTGTAACGAAATAAATAGAGCAGTGAAAAGATGAAAAAAGGGAAAGCCGCGAGTTTAAAGAGGGTGGTATCAGAGATGTTTAAAAAGGTTCTGATGACTCAGGGATTGAATAGTTAATTAATTTAGCCAATCAAATTGTCACAGAAGGAACTATTTACAAGTATTGGCAAAGTAGTATAATTATTCGAGTATACAAGAGGAAAGATGATCCTTTAGATTGCGGGTCTTATAGAGCTATTAAACTCGTGGAAAATGTAATGAATGTATTTGAGAGGGTGTTAGAGAAGCGGATAAGGGAACAAACTAAAATTGATGAAATGCAGTTTGGTTATACATCGTGGAAAGGCACGACAGATGCAATTTTTGTAGTGAGACAAATACTGATATATCTTGCGAAGGAAAAGAAACTATGCGTTTGTTGATTTGCAAAAAACATTTGATAGGGTACCACGCGAGGTTACTAGATGGGCCTTGAGAAAATCAGCTGTGGAAGAATGGTTGGCAATGAATGTGGGAGCACAAACTCCGGTCCGGAAGGATGATGGAGATAGTGAAAGCTTTGGAGTGAAGGTAAGACTTCGTGGAATCCATGCTGAAACCATTATTATTTATCTTAGTAATGAATGTGGTGACTAGAGAGATGCGTGAAGGATTTCCCAAGGCTATTATATGGAGATGACGTTGTATTCATGGGTGAGGGATAAAATTAGTAGATGGAAGATGGCTATGGAAGCAAAGGGTCTGAGAATGAATGCAATAAGACAAAGGTGATAAATGGTGGGGATAATTTGAATATAGAGAAATCCGGGAACTGGCCTAGTGGTGTATGGTGTTGATTGAAATTCGATTTAATGCACCAGATGCCAGAAATGGGTGCACAATAGATGTAGCGTGATGTTAGCAAGAATGACCTTTATTTGTAGAACGTGCATAAAAGCAGTACATAATAATGTTAACGTAGAAAATGATAGTCTGGATATGGTAATGGGTTAACCCTGGGAAAATGGACAAGTTTTGTTATTTGGGTGATATGCTAAACGGAGATGGTGGTGTGAATTCTGCCGTTGTTGCAAGTGTCAGACAAGCATGGAAGAAGTTCAGGGAGATGTTATCTATCCTAGCAAATAAAAAAGTCTCTCTAAAGGAGAAAGTTTACGTAAGCTGTGTGAGGAATTGTCTAATTTATGGCGGCGAAATATAGGCAATGAAAGCGACTCACGAAGCCAAATTGGAAAGAATAGAGATGAGGATGCTTAGATGGATGTGTGGGGTATCTCTGAGAGAGATAAAAACTAGCAAGGAATTGCGAGCAAGATTGGGTATAGAAATGATTAGAATGGTAATGTAACAAAATAGACTAAGATGGGTTGGATGTGTGGAACGTATGACAAAAGATGAGTGGGTAAAGAGATGCACCTTGATGGAAGTAGGAAGATCAAGACCTAGAAGAAGGCCCAAGATGACGTGAACAAATGTGATAGTGGCGGATAAGAGAAACATGAATCTTACAAATATTGATGTTAAGGACCGTCAAAAATGGAAAAGAAAAATCAGAGGGAAAACTGGCCTACCTGGGTAAACATGGAAATCGCCATAAAACGGAGAAGTTGGTTTTTCTCGTTTTGTTTTTGAATATTCAATAAATATATGTTTTCGGTCAGAGACCTAAATACACAGGGTTAATATCATCTTTTCTTGATGCTTACAAATTCACTCGAATTTGCTTTACAATATGCTGTTAAATATACCTTCATTCATATTATAAATTTGATATATGATATGAAAGTAGTAATATTAGTCTTAGGGTGTTGTGCATAAATAATTTTATTCTTTAAAACAAAATGATGAATAAAAATACATGTTGGTAAAATAACGCACGATTATTAATAAAAAATCTATTGAGTTTTAATCTTGTGAGTTACTTTTCCGCAAATAGCGGGTAGCCAATATAACCTATGAATCTTATGTATGCTATTTTGCTAATATTTATAATTATAAGACAGGAATGTAGACTATCTGAGGCGTGTAGTCAGAGAGCCCCACATCCGTAGCAAATTTTTTTTTAAATATTAAATGGCTCAGGCATGTAGCCAGTGAGGAGGGGTGGGCCCCCGCCCCATAGCCAAATTTTTGAAAAAAATATAAAAGGGCTTCGTGAATTGCAAAGTATTCTATTTTAAATAAGTTATATATTATAAATATTAAAATTAATTTAAATATTTATTTATTGTATATTAATATTTCACCTCTTAAAAATTTAAAGTTCATTTTACATTTTTTAAACCCTAAACACTGATGGATATAAGAAAATTTTATAAACAAAAATAAATTCTATTTAATTTATCTCTACTAATATCTATGATTAGAAAATTTCTAGTGTATGAAATGTTCAGATTTCCAAATAGAAAGAAATTTTAGAATATAATTAATTATGCTTGTGCTATAGGAAAAAAGAAACTACAAAAAGTCTGCAGGACAAGTGGATCCATTGGCATCAAACCGTTACAGCATTTTTTGAATCTAGAATTTTTTTATGCCCTTGGAGAAATATCAGAATCACCTAAAACACATATTTCATCTGAAGCTGATACATTATTAGATTTAATATGACAGTCGATTTTTTTCATTGTAATGTATTAATAAATTATTTATTACACAACAATTTTATGCAATGTTTTTCAAAGAAGTTATGAGAATCGCGAATATTATTATATTACTAGAAGACCAAGAAATAATATCGACCAGGGATTTTTCGAGATTTGAGTGATTGTTGAGGTGAAAGTAATATTATATGATTTTGAGATTCTCACAAGCCCCGCCTTTACCAACGAACAAATCGTTCCAATATTAAAGTGGACGCAATTGAGGATTACTATAAAATAACCGTTTTTATTCCACTTTTGGATTTAATTTTGACTCAAATCAAAGAATGATTTGTGATTTAGCAATGACTCTATCCAATTTACAAATACTATATCTCATAATTCCCTCTGAACTGAGGATCTATCAAATCTCGATATTGAAAAATTTAATATCAGGGGATATAACTGCATCTGAAGGCCAATTAATTTCAGAATTTAAAAGGTATGAAAGATTCATTTTTGTAGATAATTTATGAAGAAGTACAGTGAAAGAAGAGCATTGCATATTTTTAAATATATTTTATAAGTTTTCCAAATATATTAAAATTACTGTATATTTTGGCAATGATACCATACAAGCACAAATGATAGGACCTTTTCTTTATTACAGGAAATAAGAACCATCAATAGTATGACATGTTAAATTTGATTGAATTTTATATTTTATTGTGATTTTCATACCGGTTTATATAACTATAATATTTTTTAATCGTATTGTATTCGCTCTTAATATTTTGTATTCCAATATTTTATTCTTTGTATCCGAAATTATCATATTTTCAAATATGATTGGTTCTAAGAAATTTTATATGATAATTAGTTGTAATAAATTTTTAATGCCCAAAAAAATCTTTCAGTATTTTAAAAAATTACCCCCCCCCCCCATCCCTATAGAAAATTTCTGCCTACGTGACTGATCTGCCTAATTTGCGATTTATAGAATCCGAGCTATCTTTACCACTATGTGTCTGTATTTTTTTATAATTACAACAACTGTTTAATTCGAGATAAAAAAAATTTTATGGCTTAAATTAGAGATACCTTATATGCTATATGATAATTTCTTTTATAATCATAAAATAATATTTAGAAAGAATATAACCTATGTTTAAATTGAATAGGAAACTTGATTTGTGCTTGTCATATATTCGCCCCCGCCTCTCGGCTTCATCTTGACTAATGACCTTAAAATAAATCATATAAAAATTAAGATTCAAAAAAAATGCAAGTTTATTGAAATAGGGGGAAAATTATTACCAAAAAGCAACTGAATATAGGGGAGGGGTTAAGGGTAATCAGATAATTTTGGACTACAGTATAAAATATGCATCATTTACTATATAATTGCAACTAAATATGTTACATTCTGGTCAACATAGTGAAGTGAACTATGATCGTTTAATTGGTAATATAAAAAAAATATTTTTAATAAAATATATTACTTCACCACAATATTCGGATATAAAATCATTTTTCTGAACATCGTATTTTAAAAATATACCCCAACCAGCAGTGTCTGAATAGGACAAGAGGAGATGCTTTGTAATAAAAAATAGATTAATAATTTTTTTAGATAAACTCTGTATTAGATGAAACCCTTTAAGCATAATTTTTGCACTTCGCAGACGCAAGTTGCAAGAAAGGCTGGGCCGCGACGTTGTTCCCATTAATATTTTATTAACACTGGTAAAAGGACTTATACCATATTGATATATAAGTCACAGACCTATAAGTCTATATTGGTCAGGCCGTAAAATTTTAAAAATAATATATATTTTTAAAAAAATTAAGGGACTATTTTTTCAAAGGGAATTTTCAAATGTTATATCAGTGGAGAAAATAAACATTGAAGATCTGCATCGGCATGGTCAGCAGATCGGGCTAAACAAGATAGCCAATTTGTTCTGTAAAATATTTTTTTTCTGGGCTAGCTAAGAAACTTTGAGTTATATTTACACCTTGAGTAATAAAATCTTATGATTTTCCCTTAATTAAAACATTAATTATTGACCTTAAATATGACCCTTGGTAGTTTTATTTTATTTTATTTTTAAAAGTACATATATATTTTCCGAAAACTTTTTCCGGAGAAAATTTTTTCCTGCAAGCTTTCTCATTGCCATTATAGGATAGGGTTTTGCTACATGAGTATTATATTTATTTTGCCTTTATTTCTTTTACTATATAATTTTGAAAAGATTGACTGGAATATTGGATTATCATAACAATTTATAAAAAATACAAACCTTTTTGAGACCCCTTTGAATATTAGTGTTACGACAGCTGACTTCTGAACCAACTTTATCTAAATAATAATAATTACATCCAATAAATTTCATATATAAATTATAGACTCGTTATTTTATATTTTACGATTTTTTCTATATTAGTAGAGTGGTATAATTATTTCGAAGTCAGTCAATATCTTATTTACATAGGGTTCCATATTTAATAATGTCAATTTTCCAATAAGATGGCAGGGATTGTGTTAAAATAAAATAATCACACCTATGATGAGATAAAAATAACGCCCTTTAAAAACAAATTTATATTTAAAGTCTTTAGAAAGCGCAAATATCATTGCAAGATCAACTAGATAATATTACAAAATTATCATGAGTGAGATTATTAGTTTTTTACCTTAATAAAGCTAATTTAGTTTATATATTTTAAATAAGTAAAAATAACAATAGGTAACTGGCTTACAGAAATTTCAGTTGCCTTTCATTCTTTAATTTTTTATGATAAAGTCGTTCGATGCTTTATTTAATAAGGTAATAAAATACATCATCTGCAAAAAAATAACCCCCCAATACGTTATAATTAATTTATGGATTACTAAAATAAAAAATAATATAAATGAATTCTTTTTCTTCAAATTCATATGTGAATAGAAAAATGTTCATTAATTATCTTAAATCAGTATAATTTACACAATGATTCCTTTAAGATTTTTGATAAATTTTCTCGAATAAGAGGCGAGTTTAACTATCAAAAGTTGAAATTTAAAAAAATGTCATGTAGCCATGAGTATTCCCTATATTTTCTACAAGCTAGCCACAATTTTTTTAATGTAATAATGAAAAAATAACTAGCTCCACAAGGGGTACATAAATCAGGGTCGCACTCCCGAACAGCTAAAAAGCAAGGGCATTGTTTAGTGTTGCACTGAGATCGGCACCGGCAACCCGGAAATCTATTTTTGCCTAATGGATATTTTTTTTTAAATTTAAAAATATAGTGGTATATTTTTTGATTGCTATTTTTAAGAGGTTAGAATATTAATAATGGATATGGTGATAACAGCTAATCTCTTTTCACTGAACCCCGCTAATTTATTTTCCTTAACAATATTCTATTTTTTTTATCATTATTTTTTTTAAAAAAAGATATTGATTGACTATGGCCCTTAAAAATAACTTAAATTTGTATAAAGTAAAAATTGTATATTATTCAAATATATAATATATCCATAAATGAAGTAATAATAAATACAATTTAAGACAATTCTTCAATCACAACACTTTTTGTTAATTAAGTCAAAATCTCGTATTAACTTGGGAGAGGATGCCATAATCGAATTGCAAATATTCAAAAAATTAAACGTAACATATCTATTGCATCACAACATGCAAAGCATATATTTATTCAATGATATAATCTAAATTAAATTTTTTCTTCTAAAAATCAGCTTTCACAACAAACTGTTGATTTTTACAATACTCTTCTCTTCATCCACTGATACATGTCAAAGATGAAATATGAAGTATGTGAAAAACATTACATGCATTTTTACCATAACGATAGTGTAATAGCTCACCCTGAACAAGGCGGATCTATAAAAGAACATAATAAGAGATTCCAGTTAGGGAACAATATGGAGTAGGGAGGAACAAATTATAAGGAAAGGTTTGAATATGTTTATAAAGTTTGAATACTGAAATTTGGGATTAAATCGAGTTTGGGAATTTGTCAATTAAATAAGTGGAATTTGATATTTTTTGATATATTTTATGTATGACTATGCAAATTTATAATTTCAGTTTATATATGTAAATTCTGATATATACACTTGAAAATCATAGTTAAAATCTTTACCTTTTCTATATAATAAAATTAAAACGAAATTTATATTTTTGGTGTAAATTATTAATATGAGATTTATATTTAACTTCATTAAGTACCCAATACTTTAATATAGCTAAGGTTATCTAAAACGCCTTCACATATTTGCACGATAAAATATTTTCTTTCTGATTGTTGACTTATCTTGCGACTCAAAAAATTAGGGCCTAATCTTAGAATCGATTGAGTGAAAAAAAATCACTTGACCGCTTTACGTGATAATATTAATTATATTAAAATCTATTTTTTTAAAAAAGGATAAGTAAAAACATAAAAACATGAGTTCTTGCAAAGGCAAAATTTTTCGCAAAAGGCGTCGGCGTTTGTGCAGCAATTGCAGCCCACCAGATCAGAACATTCCAAGTCTCCATGGTCGCAAGGATTATAGCTGTAAAGAGACCCGCTGACACCTCCTCCCCCCTTGGCCTGTCCGTTATGACTGCTCGATTTATTACCACGAACGCCAAAATTTTTGGCCAGCACTAAAGTTGGAAAGTTATTATTTTCAGTGTTGATAATCGAATCGGAATAGGCATCGTTCAAAATAGGTTCCTTAACATCGTTCAAATCATCATCGATCGTCTTTGAGAAATCAGAATGTAAGGCAAAAGGATGTGTTGGGACAAAATGACCAATTTTCTTTCTATTCTTCTTCCAGCTCCCAAGCTTGGTGCTAAAAATGGTTAATAAAATAAAGAATTTAGCTGTTCATTATTAAAGAGTATTTTCAAAATATATAAATTGAGTCCCAACAAAATTTACAGTTATTTTAATAATATATCCTAACCTTGCAGCCCATGCTCATTTAAACAATTTTTTAAAATAAGCTAATACTATACCCAATGACATATATGAAATCAAATAAGAACCCACCCCTTCCCCAGATTCCTTTCAAATAATGAATTATAGTTATTATCATGAATTCTCAATCATACTAAAAGAAAAACTCTGTTTAAAAAAAATTGATATTATAAATCTGGACGAGGTCTAGGTTTATTTAAGAATTAGAATCATATTTTTGTTAACATCTTAATGTCATTAAGGATAATTGAGGCATTCTATTTATAAAAAATAACTTATTTGTTTTCTTTTTCGAAGTTGGAGATATGGTCGAACGAATTTCCATTGTCTCTTGAATGTTCTCGATCCCCAATTTTTTAATCAATTGACTCACCTATAATCGAGAAAAAAAATTAACAAAATATTGAGTGACAATTTTTCATTTAAATCCATTAAGACTGAAAAAATCCAAAAGAGCAGTTAAATATATTTTTTTTAAATTATTCAAAAAAATACTTGTTATCAAATTAAAAAAATATATTAATCTAAATCTAGAATATTAAAAATAACGATTTTATTGTTTAAATATTTACAACTAATTTATTTACGATTTGAAGAAAATAATTTTGTTAAAATTTATGAATAATATCTTTGGTTTTTTTAGGTTGAAGCTGCTTGATTATTTAACTATTGTTCATCATCTTTTATGCATCCTTATACCAATCTTATTTTCAAAATATTTTGAAAATTTGTGGAAAGGTAATTTCAAAATATCATTTTCTAGTGAAATGCCTAGAAATTCGATTACATATTTATCTTTATTGGCGATATTTTATATTTTAATGATTAAATTTAAAGATTATAATATTAAAATTAATTATTAAATTAAAATTTTTGTATTTTTTATGCTATATATATGTCATATAAATTTTAGCGCGACTTCTCTTTTAAAAAAAAGCGCGCTATCATTATTTTAAAGTAGAGTGCTGTTAGCTACCGCTACTTTAACAACTTAGTATTTTAGTATAATAAATCAATTTTGTTTGTATTTTAATGATTAGTTTAAATTTTCAAGTAAAAATATTTATTATAACTAAGGATATAAGAGCAAACAAGCATAAAAAACGGGGAAAACCAGGCTTATTTCTAAACTTTTTGATAATTAGACAAATTTATATCGTTTTCCTTCACAAGGAATTAATAAATTCCAAGCCGGACAACTTGCATAAAATAAATTTTACGTGCCGGGCCAGGAAAAAAAATTACGGGCCAGGCAGAAAAATTCGATAAAAAATTTCCATAAACCGGTTTAATTTATTTTAAAAAACATAAAAAATGATGTTTGTTTTTTAATTCTTGAAAGAGTGAAAAAACGGTTAAAATAATCGAACATTACTTAATACTCAATAAATTTCAATTTTTTCATTATAAGTTATATAAGTTAGGGGCAGTGTGTTATTTTTTAAACTTTAAATCATTTTTTGAGAGCATTTTTTTTAAATTTAAAAATCTGATTTTACTGGAAATGTATTCCAGCATGTTTAGAATACCTATCTTATGAAGTGTAGACAATTTTGCCGTTAACATTTAAGTCAATTATTATATAAAAAATTTATGGAAAAACTAATATAAATAATATCAAAAGTTCAGCAAAATTGTTAAAATGAAAGTGGTAGGATTCCAAACATGATGGAATATATTTCTGGTAAAATCAGATTTTGATATGTAAATAAAAGCGCTTAAAAAATGATATAGTTGAAAAAATAACATATTACCGGAAAAACACATTACTGCTAACACAATATACTCAGAACAAAATGTATTAAATTATAAATGGACAAATATTAAATGTCGATATCCTTATGATATACTGTTTAATTTAGACAATCTTCAATATGACGATTTTATATTGATTTAATCATATATTTCCAGGAAAACATATGTAATACAATAAATTGAAATGTTTTTGTTTTATTATAAATAATGAATTTAAAATGACAACGTGCAAAATGGTAAACGTTTTTTTAGTGTTGTTAGGCTGATGTTTTTAATTTACTTGGTCGTAAAATTTACGACCCAATTATATGCTCATGCCTACTCTGACCACGAACCCGGGGTCCAGACCCGGGTGTCAGTATAACTCTCTGATATAATAGTGTGCAATCATTTATTTGAAAATTTTTTCCACCACTTTCTGGCTTCCTCCCTTATTTCAATAAAGAAAAGATTTGTACAATATTTTTAAATCTAAATCATTATTTTAATTATATATTTGTATATAGATATGATATTAGCTCAATAAATTTTATAGCTCAATTTCTGCATCGACAGTCTAAAAAGGTTTTTACACTATGTATTTATATTTATGTATATAGATGTGATATTAGCTCAATAAATTTTATAACTCAATTTCTGCATCGACAGCATCTAAAAAGGTTTTTACATAGTAATTTTATAAATGGCTAACTCAATAATCAGCAAGGACAGGGTAGCATAAGAAATATATCTTATCTGTAAAACAGGGCCCGGCCCGAGTCTATTTTTTTATTTTTTAATACATTTGAATTTATATATTTTTAAAGATGAAAAAAAAATTTAATTTCAATGTGTATTAAATTAAAATTAAATCTTACTTTGTTTAAATAATAATAATATTAATAATACTCGACCGACTGTAATCGAAAAATTATGAGGTGGATAATTTTGTTTATAAAAAATAATAAGTATAAATATTGTTAAAAGAAGTGACTTTTCTATCTTTTTTAATAATATATAATTAAAAAATATATTTCTTATACTTGTAAAGTTTCCTTTTCTTCCGAAATTATAAAAAAAAGGAAGTAAAATAATTTTCATCAAATTTATAATTATAACTGTTCCAACGAGTGTTGCAAATTGTATAATACATTAGATATCTGCAAAAGTAAGGTCCGGTTTTATTTTTTTTAAAATAAATCGGTTTAAAAAAATTCCGACCAGTTAGGGTAGGGCCTTAAAATTTTTTTTTAAATATAACTAAATTTTATGCTGAATTTTTTATGTAAAATAAAAATATTTAATTTTATTTATAGAAAGTAGACGCCATATAACATATATCCTTTATTTCGATATATTATAAAAATTAATTTCTATATTTAAATAAATTCCTGCCAGACTGATAAATTTTTTTAAAAAAAATACGGGTTCTAGCCGGAAAACATATTTAAAAAAATTTTAGGCCGGGCAGGGCTTGAAAAATTAGGCTCGATGCAGATCACTACAATCAGGGTTGTGCATTTGACCGGTCAAATACAATTCGGTCAATTGACCGATATTTGACCGGTCAAATATGGTCAAATTCAAATAAATGTTTTTTACACCAATATTAACTTTATTTTGCATTTATATAATATTATAATAAATCTATGTATAATAATAAATATCATAATATTTTTTAATACATTCTATAGTCAATGTTTCACCCTCCGTGGCAGAGTCTTGTTCCGATTCATATTCAATATCATTATTTTCTTTAATATTTTTAATCAATCTTAAATTATGATACACTCTTACTAATTTTCCTGCTGTAGAAGCCTTTAATCTATTTCTGTTTTTCGTGTGAATATTGCCCCAAACTGACCAATTTCTTTCAGAAGAAGAAGTCGAACTAGGAAATGTTAGTAAAATATTAGCGACTTCTCTTAATGGGCAAGGTGGGCAAAATGCATTCCACCAACTTGAGGCCGAAATTTGATTGTTTCTTATGGAAGTTACAACTTTCCACATATTATGGCTATTAAATATACCGCTTTTGCTTCTGAAATTTACTATATTACTCAAAATATTTTGATTATCACCACCTTGTAAAATACCCAATTCTTGTATTATATTACATGCTTCATCAAATTCAGTATTAGTAAGATGCTCCCCTTGATATTGGGGGTCCAATAAATAAGCAGCATTGTGAGCACATGTATTTATATCAGTTTTTCTCTTTTCAAACATAACCTTAATTTTTTTTTCTTGAGATGGAGAAAAAAATATAGAATCATGGCATGATTGTATTATGTGTTTTTCCAAATTAAGCATCTCGTTTTTTACTTGGGCCAAAGTACATTTATCCCCTTGCACTTTCAACAATGAGGTAGCTAAAGGTTGGAGTATAGCTAAAAATTTTAAATTTTTCGTCCAAAATTCTTCGACTAATATATTATTGGTAATTTCTATGGGACAATTATCACAAACAGCTTCTTCAACAACTGATGCTTTTAGAGCTTTCTTGCATATTTTAATTTGCTCCATACATTTTATTGACGATGCCCATCTTGTTTGGCTAATTGTACTTAATGTAGATGGTATGCCATGAAGATTCTTATTAGGGGAAAATACTGCAGCTGGTATGTGTTTATTCTTGAAAAATTTAACAATTTTTTTAATTATTGAAATATGGTCACTGAAGGCGTCCAATCGTTCAAAATCGTGAAAGAATAACTGAATGTATGCGCTGCACAACCATAACATTGTATATTATTATAAATAGATTCAGATTTTAGAATTCTCCAGGCTGCTTTCATGTTAGCGGCATTATCAGTAACTAAAGAATATACTTTTACCGGATTCAATTCATGAATTACATTTTTAAATTCCTGGGCAATATAATCTGCCGTATGGCGATTTTCCTCAGTATTTAGAAATTTGTAGAACACTGGAACAGGCGTCATCACCATAAAATTAATAATACTCTCGTTTCTAATGTTGCTCCAGCCATCTGATACAATTGATAAGTAAGGAGCTTTATCTATTATATCTGCAACTCTCACCTCCATATCACCTGACGCTTTGTCTAGAAGATATCCAGCCAGCTGCCTTCTCCTGGGTAATGTGTAAATAGGACGTATTTTTTTTAAAAATTCTTGGATGTAGGGATTTTCAGTGATGTGGAAAGGTAAATTGCTCGCATATACAGCCTTTGCAAACAATTGATCCAGCTCATTTTTTTCTTTGGGATTAATTCTATCTATGAAACCGGTTATACAAGATTGAGATTTATATTTAATCGCCTTGCTTGTAGATTGATTAGAAATAAGGGAATCAAATTCTCCTGAGTCACAAGACAAAATATTGTTCATTTGATAATCATTCTCACTAATTTCACCCAATTCTTCATTAGAGTTAGACTTAGAAGTATTACAAATTACATTTGTGATATTTTTTGTAGAGGTTGATATTTTGGAATTTGAATAAAATTTTTCCTTAATTATAACAGGGCACATAGTACAGTTGCTTAATAAATGTTTGACCATTCTATCAACGTGGGTGATATAGGACATCTTGCAAAACTTGCACACCGCTTTAACTGATTTACCATCGCGTACTTCTTGAAAATGTTTCCAAACATGATGCTTTGGTTTGACC